CAGCGGAGCCATTGGATGGATAGTATGTCCTCTGGTAACTGTGGCTTTTGACATATCCCGTGAGTGGTTTGGAAACCATTTGATCGATCTCTCTTGCAATGTCTTAGGTTTCCGGAGGAAGAAAGCGGATAATGCTGAAGAAAGCAAAGATCTATTGCTGCTCAGACTGGGATGGCGGTAAGATGTTTATAAACTTAGGTTTGGTAGTAACTATCATAAAGTTCTTCTCGAACCGAAACACTACATTTGGAGCAGTTTAGTTTATTTGTGGGAATTTTAGTGGTAAATCCAGGATTGAGCTATTTTTAGCAAAATATGGTTAGGACATTGGATCATAGTTATGCTGTTTCCTGTGATTCCATGGATGGTGCAGTATACAATATGAATCAGCAAGGGAGTATTTGGTTATGTTTTCCATGTTTATAATCATACATAGCTATAGTTTCAGTTAAAATGTAGAGGATCTGAGGTTATAAAGGGATCACTATTGGAGTATATTCCTGGTGCTGCTGCTTGGCAGCCATAGTTTAAGAGTGATTGGCAGACTAGTTAAACTAAATAACTGCAGGAAGTTATTTTAAGAAGAAAATAAAATAAAATTCTTACATTGTAAAGATTTAAACTTTTTTTTGGGTAATTAATATAATTTAGAACCCTAGAGAGTCTTTTGATTATGCATCAGTTAGCTTTAAATATCAAAGTTAGCCAAAATAAGTATGTCCAATTGTTCTTCCTCCGATTCTTGCAAAACCCGGGAAACTATTTTATTTTTCCTCGGATTTGTAGTTTTTGATCTACTTATTCTTTCTCATTCCACCGAAAACCTTTAAGGCTGTGGTCTTGGTGTTTGTTTTTCACCAAGAGCTGTATATTGATGTATTTTTCTTGTACTGATATCATATATGATGTTATAAGCTGCTTCTTTTGGGTTTATCATACATTGTTTACCACTTTGTTTTACGCATACTTCTTGGTAACTTGGTTCAATTCTGATGAAGTCACTTGAATGGCTTATGCTGCCGAACTCCGATGATTTTTTTTCATTCATGTGCTTTCTTTTGGTCAGAGGTTATAATGTTTATCGAAAAACGAATTGAATAGTTACAATTGCTTAGAAATGTCTGTATCTCTCTGCCTGCTGTGAAGGGAGCTGCATTCTCAAAAGACATTACTTGCTTTCATCGTATCACGGTGTCTAAACTCAACTGGTTGTGTAGGACAGATGTGTAATATGTTACATTGGTCTCAAAGTTATTGTCTTTTCGTGTCCAAATAGTGTAGGTTTATGTCGTTTAGGTTTTTTGGTTACATGTCCTAACGAGACCGACACATTTTCTCTGAGGTGTTCTTCGTTTTTTAGGTGGACTGAACTCAGAGATGGTTGCATTTGTCCCCTCATGTTCTGGAACGGATTTAGCAGAGGATTTCTACAAAGTAAGCGTTGGTCTTTTGAGCAGAAGCGTAGTCTTTTGCCGTTTGGAGTATTGCATTTCATTCTCGAAAGGCCGCAGAGAAAATTCTTTAGATGAATGTACAAACTTTCTTTCTTATGTTTTTTCTTTTTTATACACAGAGGACAGACCAAGATTTTGTTTTTCTTCTTTTCTGTTACCAGGTAAAATCTGAAGAAGGGGGGCATCCTTTTTCAAAGCACAAAAAACCCGATAACCAATATCGTTCCTCCCTCAAAAGACGAGAAAGACAGCAAACACTCGAGAAAAGGAACTCGATATGCACATTAAACCGGGCGTTTGGACAGGAATTCGTTCACTGCATCCCTCATATCCTCGTATCGGTAACAGCCTTCGAAGAAATCTGCGAGTTTCATCAGTTCCCGGTCATTCATATCATCCACGAAAGGCTTTATGGGCAGTCCATTCTCAGGCTGGAACGAGTACGAAAACGGATTGTCGTCCACCATTAAAACACTTCCGAGATCCTTGCCCACCACCAAAGATAAGTCCTTTACATATTTTCCATTCACTTCTTTGCATGAATCCCGATACAGGCGCTGTGAGATGACTCGGTTCTGGTCCAGTTTGTCCAAAACCTGGGAGGCATAGTCTTCCAGCCCGGCCGTGAAGACGACCACTCTGAATTCCTCACTGATTCTCTTCAGAAACTCGTTAACGCCCGGACGTTTTACCACAAACAACGGTATAATCCCGCTCCCGATCTTAATCCTGACCATGAAATCGATTTTTCCTCTCGGTGGTTGCGTTGTTGAGTGCACCAATGTCTCGTCCAGATCGAGCAAGATTGTCCTTTTCTTTTTATTGTGTTTCTCGAGTTTCTTGTAGCCATTTTTACTGGCTATGCAGCTACTGGCGGTTGCACGGAAGAATCTGGAAACGCAACGAAGGAGGCGATGGTGGAAAGCGAAGAATGACGCATTTAGGGACGTGAAAATGGAGGCGGCGGAGAAATTGGACAGATAGTTTTTCGTCTCTTTTCTTTGGATCTTGACAGATTTCCCGACGACCCTTTTGGACACCATCAATCGGTAAAAAAGATTCTGGTTTCCCGACAAAGAAGACGGGTTTCGTGTTATGAAGAACAAGTTTTTTGCAGACGCTCGGATGGAAGATGCTTAAAAACTAACATCTGGTGATAAATTTTATAGCATTCTTTCTATCATATTGGCAGTTATTTTTAGAAAATCCAGATTTCAGACATTGGAACATAGCTCAGACAAATGTGAAACCAGCAAGAGTGTGGTCTTGATATCGTTTCTTCTGTTACAAGTCATCTGGATATCGTTTCTTCTGTTACAAGTAATCATTTTCTTTCTCTTTTTTTTTAATTTCTATTTTCTGATATGACAAAATGTCATAACCAAATCAAATTTGATGGGTTGGATATAAGCCAATTATTTTTAAGAATATCCAAAACGAATTCTGTCTCAAGAACACAAATCTCAGTTTCACCACCGATTTAATCCACAAAAAAATATCGTTTTTTCCTTAAAAAAAAGTTTCTGATCCACATTTGAGAATTACCCATCTGAGATTATGGGGATAAAGAGTGGACGTTTCGGGAAACGGTTCGGGTTCGTGACGAAATGGATCTGTTCAGTTCTTTCGATTTTACAAAAATAGGTACCAATCGGGTTTTTTATTGTATTCGGTTCGGTTTCGGTATCAGTTCGGTTCTGGGTTTTATTAAAAAAATGATAGATTTCCTTTAAAAATATTTCAGGATTTTTAAAATTCGGTTCGGTTCGGTTCCGGAAAAATTCGGTTCTCTAAAAATGGTACCGTTCGGGAAATATCAGCGGTTTCGGGTCGGGAAAAATACCGTTTTAACGGTTCGGTTCGGTCCGGTTCCAAAGAACCGAACCGAAACGCCCAGCCCTAGAAGAAATACTTGAGCAGACAACAATGGATGATATATATCTCTGTGACTAAAAGCAACTATGGAGATGGAAGTGTTTCTGTTCTGAAAATGTATCTGTTCCCATCAAGATTTCTCATTTCTTACATACCCTTGAAGGCTTTCGGTACAACGAACAACACGGAAATCTTGACGATCTTAAGCTACAATTGAATGAATCTATTCAGCTAACCATCAGACGATTCATAATTTACAGCGAAGAACCTGCAAGACCTGCACTTGTGAGGAGCTGTTACAAAGGAATTTGGACATATTTAGCCTGGATTTATAACCTCGTACGACATGTGTACAAGAAAAGACTGGATCATCTCATAAACGAGTACATGATGATTTTCCTGTGTAGAAGAATCATTCTCTTGCTTGGCAAACGTTTCATATCTTCACATTAATAACTATAACTATTACTCTATGTGCCTTATAGATAATTTTCCGGTAAGAAAACGTTGCAATGCAGCCCGGGGGAAAGATGAAAATTTGGTACCAGAAATTTCCACTTGCCTGGAGAGTCATCTGCTTTCCGATTCACCGTTCAGATTTGAAGTATTGTTGATAGATGGTGTTCTGTCTCGGTGTCTTGATCTTGGAATGATCAAAGGCCTGCAACATATCAATGTGAAAAGCAATTCCATGATGAACATGCTCATGCTGATCCATACAAACAAACTCTTCCGCCAGTTCCATATGATCCGCTTGAGGAAAGGAAGATCGGATTGGAACTCCATGGATGCATCGTACAGCTCCGGAACGCCAGCTCCAGGACGAAACTCTGCCCGTTGTTCGATCATCACCTTCAAGCAAGCAGTGGGTATGTCTTTCTCGACAAAGCCTGTGAACTTCAATCTCAGGGTTTGGGTTTCAGAGACATAGCCCGTGACGAGTGGAGCAATCTTGAGGAGTGTCTGAACAAGACGTATAGGCTCGCTTCTGAATTTCAACATGCATGGCCGCCTTGAGCTAGCGAGAGTTTGACCATCCGCCGATAGGGAATCCACCCGAACCTTCAAGAAAGAGTGATGATTACATAAATAGAGTGCCTGAAGAAGACAAGACATGATTCTGATAAATCTGCCATTGGATTGAAACCCTTCTGTCTCTGGGTAGGCATCATATGCTTGAATTAACATAAGTCTGTGTGTTGAATTTTCTAGCCATAAGATCAATCCAAGTACTGAAAAATAGAATTTCTTTCTCTATTTTTACACAATGCTGTCTAAAATGTTTGTGGTTCATACCATCAACAAGATATCGAGAACTATCCTCCAAATACAGGCAATGAAATTTCTTTCTCAATCTATTACACAAAGCTGTCTAAAAGATTTCTGATTCATAACATCGGGAAGATATCGGCAACAGTTCTCAAGCATGTCATGGATACATACATATCTCTCGAACATAGCAAAATAGGCCAAAGTCCATACCTGGAACATGCCGAGATTTCGGTTGTACTCAGACTCGGGCAATGTCAATGAAACAGTGATCTCTATTTTGTGATTTCGAGGGATAATCCGTGACCCCATGATCTTCCCAATTTCGGGATTTTCCTTACAACTTTTATCACAGGCAACCCCAGAACATGAAACTATAGGGACATAAGCTTCAGGACTGTTTTTGGTATAATCAAAATTCAAGCTTTCTTGAACTACCAATGGCTCCTGAGCCAAAAGCCTTATCACAAACCCACCAAGCACTAAAGCCGAAACCAACAAGACAACCAAAACGATTCCGACATAAATTGCCCAAAACAAACCCCATCCAAACTTGGACACAAGCTTCAACATGGACCTGTAATCTTTCAAACCAGGAGACAGAAACGGACTTACAGTCTCCAATATCATATCAAATATCTCAGCAACCCTCGTCGTTATATACCGTTTGCTGCGCCTCATTGTTCCAAACGGATCAAGAACAAAGATACAGAAGCTATAGACCAGCCATGGTGGAAATGTGATCAAGCTTATCATCAAACTGACCTGAAACTCGATTGCTTTGGTCGACAGCCCGAGCAAAAACGAAAACAGAGACCAATCTGTCGAAGAAGGCTCCACGCGCGAAACCACCGCCGCCGATTCGGCTGAGTCGACAACCCGGTCATCACTCACCGTAGTCACCGTGGATTCTCCAGTTTTCTCGGAGCTCATGGATTTCCCAGCCGGAATCGGATCGACCCGGTCCCCAACCGAATCAGTCACATCCAAATCCTCCACTTTTTCCCCATCCGTTTCAGCATGTTCCCCACCCGGATCAATCGCACCAGAATCTCCACCTTGTGCAGGATTCGGATCGATCTGATCGTTAACTGGTTCAGTTACGCCACCACCTTCCTCAATTTCTCCAGATTCGCCAGAAAGCTCGTCGTCTTTTTCCACCAAAAACTTTTTTTCAAATTCATCGGAAGAAGAAAACGAACCCATATTCGAATCGAAAGTCTTCAATTTCCAACCGGGAGCCGATTTCCGCCGCCGGAGATTTGCGGCGGAGGTAGGAGAAATCGCTTGAGAGGAAGATGGACGGTTAGAATTGTCGTGGGCAGACGAGCAATCGTAGAAAAAATCTTCAGGAGCATCGAGGAATCGATCTTCGTCGCCTCTTCTAGTGCTCGATGATGACGATTCCATTGGCCGGAAGACGAAAGGCTGCTGCCTCTGGAACGGAAAACGAGATTGGGACGAATACTTTTATGGGCGGGACTTGTCGATCTGTCTACCGCTGTCGGACCGGGGAATTTCAAACCGGTTAACTGAGAACCGGAATTTATACTGGTTAATTGCCCATCTTATCTTTTCTTTTTTTAACCGTTCATCATCAAACACAACATTAGTAATACGATAACAAATAAAAAAAATCATTACGATACCAGCATAAAAAAATTTGAAATTTTAAAACTTAGCATATAAATACATAAAACTTTGAAATTTGCATAAACTTGTAAATATTGTCATAAATCTTTTATAAAATTTACAAATATCTCTCAGCGTATATGAGCTTATGATAACATTTGTAAGGTTTCTCATTTTTATAAGAGTTTTAAAATTCGTGTATTTATATAATATTTTTTTAAATTAATGTTTTTATAGTATTGCTTCTTATTATTAATATACATAAGAAAATCATACGGATGAATAAACTAATCCTAATATAATCTTAAAATTGACGAATTATTAGTATATGTCGCGCAACATCTCGAACCGTGAATTCTCCGGCAGCCTTCAGGGAAGGCTGCCACCGGACTTTGTGAGGCTCCCATTTCTTGAATCGATGTGAGAGTCCTCCAATTCTATCATAATGTAAATATATATTGTATGCCTTTTGTAGATATATATATATATATATATATATATATATATATATATATATATATTGTATGCCTTATATATAATAGATTCATAATTTAGTATTGCAAACATATGGTAGATGTGCCCCTGATTTAGCCTTAGGTTATTTGGTCTCATTTACTTGGAATGCAAGTTACCAATTTTGACGTATTTTTCTTATAGACAAATTATAAAAAAAAAATATACGATGATAATCAGATTTATTCATCACGAATTCAAAATGATATGCCATTACTGGATAAAAATAATAAACTCCATGAAAATCTCGAATCCCGTTTTCAGACACTGATGTGTACGGAAATGATGACTTGCGGTCCAAGCGACTGGGCCAGATCCGGACATTGTCGGAATGTGTCGTGTCTGTTACGTATTCTTTTTCTGCATCTGCGTACGATTTGTACCTTCTCACTCCCGATTTTCGGTATTCGGTTCAGATTCGGTTCGGGAGTTTCGGTTTTACACAAATATGTGTCAATCGGTTTTTATATCATATTCGGTTCGGTTCAGTTTTTCGGTTTTTTAAAAATTCGGTTTGATTTTTTAAATACCGTTAAAGAATTTTTAATGGTTCGAAACGAGAAAATATCATATTTTTTCGATTTGGTACGATTCGATTCCGAATAATTGTACCGAAATATCAGTTTTAGATAGAGATGTTAATTGGGTTGGATTAAATGGGTTAATCCAATCCAATCCAATAATAAGAGTTTATGGTTCGACTCATTAGGTTAATTTTATTAAATGGATTAAATGGGTTTAACCTATGGGTTATGGGTTGAATGGATTTACCCAACAAACCCATTAAACCCACTATACAATTAATCTAAATTATTTGATTATATAAAAATCCAATTGTAATTGAATTCGAATTTAACGAAAATTATAAAATCGAATTCAAATAGAATATTAATCGAACGTAATCATATATATATATATATATATGAATTCGAATCGGACGAAATCCTATGTAGAAATCGAATCTCAATCGATTCCGAATCGAACTTAATCATATGTGAAAACCGAATTCGAATTGAATGTAATTCTATGTTTGAAATCGAATCAAATGGAATCATGTGTAAAAACCGAATTCGATATTGAATACAAATCGAACAAAATCATATGTAAAAACCAAATTTGAATCGAACGCAACTCTATGCACGTGAATCGAATTCGAATCGATCGGAATTCTATGGAAAGTTAAATGTGAATCTAATACGAATCGAATTGAAATTTTTATAAAGAACGAATCCAAATTGAAACGATCCAAATCTGAATATGCTAATTAATAAATCAATTAGAATGAATATGTTAATTGGGTTTAAATGGGTTAATTGGTTTAATCCAACCCGTTTGGTTTTGAAGATAATATTATTGGGTTGGGTTAATCTAATTCATTAAATCTATTAACCCAAACGGGTTGGGATTAAGCAGGTTCCAAAACCCATTTTGACAACCTAGTTTCAGACAATGGTTTTTGAAACTTGTAGAACAAGCAAGAAACCCTAATCCTCTTGAATTTATTCAAATGAGGAAAAACATGTTTTTTTTTTATCAGGCATAACCTACATATTATTATTGAATATATATATATATATGTGTGTGTGTGTGTGGATAGCCTATACTGAGAAAATTCGTGTGGTCAATAAGATTGAAGTATAGGGGTTAATTTGTAAAACAACACAATTTTTGGGACAATTGTGTAATTTATCAAACCCACCATTTCTTCTTCTTTTTTTTTGTCGTTAAAAAATTGCTAAAATATCTTTCTTTTATTAAATGGGCTCTCCTTTTGAAGCATATTTGCTTTTTGGTTTCGAATCTCGTTTCAGAGGAAAATTTCTTTAAGAATAAATATTTGTAAAATATTTGCTTTTAAAAAGAATTTGAAACAAAATTTCTTTAAGAATAAATATTTTTATTAATAGAATATCTAAATGGAAAATCCGAGTGAAATTGTGTCGACCATTAGAAGTTGTAAATCTGTCGAGTTTTTGTTGCCATTGACAAATATCTCTCTTTTTCGTAGGAATAAAATAAAATCTAGATTCGATGTATCTTTGAGATTCTTCCCCATTAAAAAATTATAGACATAAATAATTGAAATAAAGTTTTTTTTGGTGTAATAATTGAAATAAAGTTGAAGTGGAAAAGAAAGTGAAAACGAAAAACCGTGTGGGGATATATATATATATTGAAGAATGCGATACGAGGTGGGGTTAGAGCGTTAATTTAGACCCGGCAATTTAGATTTGAAGTCCGTAACTGGATCCGAATTTTCTTGAAAATTGTATATTTTTTTCAAAAAAATAAAAAAAAATTAAGTTTACAAAGGAATTAAGTACCGATTCGAATCCAAAATCTATAAAATCGGATTTTAAATTTCTTTTTGGATGAAGAATATCCTGAGTCGAAACTCAAACTAATTCCGAAATTATGAGTAAATCATATGATTGGAATTATATTGCTCTTTCCAATTTGAAGTTCGAATTCGGAATAAAATATATATTTTATGTCTCTTTATCATCGGTTGAACTATTTAAAATTGGATGAGTTTCAATTTAAGTTATATACACCCAAAAAACATCGAACCGACCCGAACTTGAACCGGAGCATGAACCCAAAATCTCTTATTGGAATTATATATTTTTATTTATAACATATAGAGTCATATTCTATGAGAAAAAAGGGTAGGCCGATCTAAAAAAATTATCAATAAAAAATTATAAATAAGGGCAAATTTAATTTTATTATAGGACATTTAACAATTTTGCTAAAAAAATTTACAAAGAATTTTTTTGAATAAAAAAAATCAATATCCGACTCATAAGTAGGATGTAAAATGAGTTCGGCTCGCAGGCTAACTCACGAACCAACCTATATTTTTGTGAGTCGGATTTAAATATTTTGAATCCATAAAAAAATGAGTCTAACGAACCAGTCTGTCGTGAATCAGATTCGTAGCGAGCCAACTTGTCACGGACCGACCAACTCGTAGCCTAAAATAATTATTTTTTAAAAATTTTATTATTTTTATATATATATATATATTATATTTTTATTATATATTTAGTTTATTTTATTTAAAATTTTGATTTTTTATTATATTGTAAATATTTAAAAAATGAGTGAGATTGAGACGATCTAGATTGGACTTGATCGGGCCAGGATGTTTTACACCCTACTCGTAACGTCTTGCATGTCATTAATTTGGCATTATTCGAACACCTTTTCCATATGAAATTATTGCTCTAAAGTAGATTTGTCTTGTTTTTGAAATTTATTTATTTTAACATAAGATTAAATTAATGTCATCACATGTAAATATTTCGAAATGATTACAAACATGGAGTTCATGACACTAAGCTTTAAATACTATTATAATTTCTATTCATATATTTAATTTGGATTTTCTTATCCTAAGAAATCTATTAAAACAATATCTTGTACTATATTTTAATCAATTGAAAGATCAATTTGATAAATAAAAAACTATTTTCTAAAGTGGTGCCATAGATCTAAATTTATAGAAATACAACTATCTTTATTAAGTTAATAAGAAAGAAAGAAAATATGATTTTGTATTTGATTAAATTTCAAATCATTAAAATTTGAATCGGAAAATTATCAAAAATATTTTCTCTTCCCCATCTGTGACCATATGACTATATGATCTCAAATATAGTATGTCCATATATTGATTTCAATATTCATAACGTTAAATTTATGATGTTTTAATCAAATAATTAGTAAGATATACAAGATAAATATAATAAATTAGTGAGATCATACTATATTTTGGTTCATGCAAGTAAGAATATAAAAGTAAGTATTTTTGATATAATGGCATTTGAAGTGCACAAAATCATTTAGCCTAAAACCAATTAACTTCACTCACTGTACAACCAATTTGATAACTATGTTTGAATTGAAACCCTGATTAAGCTGATGCTGCTGGTTCTTGGATTGTGGCCATACTTTGCATTCGAATATTTTTTAAATTTCCTTCAGGGTGAAATTAGGGTTCTTAGGGATAGGGAAATGGTGAGATTAGGGTTATTAGGGAATGGTGAGATTAGGATTTCGTATACTTTCTAAGGGACTCGGCAAAGGATCGCGCACGTGGTGCGTGATTGATGATGCTCCGGCGGATGACGGAGAGCCGATCCTCTGAGCTCGTCATTGGCTTAGAATTGCAGGATCAGGCCGCTGAGGAGGACGAGGACGAGAGGTGAAGAGGAGAGAAGATGACGGATTTTTTGTCGGCGGTGACGGAAAAACGCCGGTGGAGGTAAGAGAATTGAATTTTTTTTAGTCGTGATGTAGAAATTGAAGTAGAACACATTCACAGTGTCACAAAAAGTTGGATAATGTTATGAAAGCTTGACTTCTTGAAACTTAGTCTTTGGAGTATTCACAAGTGGAGATGGTGGGGCTGATGAAAGGGCAACACCATGGACAAGAAACTTCAACATGGACCCATGTGATCCATTCACTGAACTGTTCAAACCAACGTCTGCACCACAAGCATTTTGATTAAGTTTTGGGCTTAACCTTATAACTATTTCTTTGAAACTTGTGTAAATTTTCGACGAAAAACAGAGGAAGTTGCTTTTATTTAATGTGTGTGTATATATAATTTGAAGCACAGAACTTATCTGCAGTTTTACAAGTTCATGATGTCACAAAACCGGTTTGTTCATGTAGCATCTGTTCTTATACTTAGCTGCATGGCATGTATAGCTTACGCAGCTCCTGCTCTGCACCCAGATGAAGGTTAGTGGATTCTTAAGTGATGCAAGAAACATTATGATGGGGTTTCTTTCCAGATTCCGTCAGAATCTATCATGATCTGTTCATCAAGTTTGAGAAAACCAGACATGTTTCTTGATTCTGTGTTCTTGCAGTGAAAGCACTCAAGGATATAACTTCGACGCTCGGTGTAAAGTACTTGAACCTGAGTGAAGATCCTTGTCTGGTAAAGACACTCAAGATAACGGAAGGCGGTTTGGAAGAAGGGCAGAACAGTACGATCAGATGCAACTGTCGTTTTGACAATAACAGCACGTGTAGAATCACGCACTTGTAAGTCCACGGCGTTTGATTATCTTCTTGTTAGAAAATCTGTGTCCTCCTGCATGTTTTCTTTTAATGCAGTGTGCTCAAGACATTCAGCCTTCAGGGAAGGCTGCCACCGGACTTTGTGAGGCTCCCATTTCTTGAATCGATGTGAGAGTCCTCCAATTCTATCCCTTTTCATCTCCTTCTCATTATCGTACGCACATTCAATACTATCTGGGATTTGCAGCCAACTATGCCGTAATTACCTATCTGGTTCAATTCCAATGGAATGGACGTCTTTGCCATACCTTACGTCCATGTAAGTTTTGGTTCTCAAGTTTCTTGTTCGAAAGGAACTCCGACACGCTTATGAAATTTCCCGATCTTTTCCCCCTCCAGATCTGTCTGTGCGAATCGCTTGTCAGGAGATATTCCCACAGGTTTGGGGAAGTTTATCAATCTCACCGTATTGTATGGTTCTCTTCATCTTATCTTTGATCTAATGAGATTATGCTTGATGTATCGGTATATCTCTTTTTTATGGGACGGAGTTGTCAGTCCTGCATCGTATGGTTTCAGGGTCCTTGAAGCCAACCAATTCTCTGGAACTGTTCCTAAAGAATTTGGGAACTTGGTTAACATGGAAAGATTGTAAGCATGAATTTCTCAATTCTAAAAAGACAAAACATATCCTCCAGTCTCAGTGTGTTGTCCTTGTTTGTGTGATTCCAGACTGCTTTCTTCGAACCAGCTTGTCGGGAGCCTCCCGGAGACTCTAGGGAGGCTAACAAAGCTGAACGAGTTGTATGTTTATCAACGTGTTCTGGTTTTCTTGAAACACTTTCCGAGATCATGGCTGAATGTTTTAATTGTATCATTTGCAGACGTATAAGCGACAATCGCTTGAACGGATCCATCCCAGAATTTATAGGCAACTTATTAGAACTTAGAAAATTGTAAGAAAGCTCTTTCTGCGTTACACGTCAGAATTTGTAGCATTCTAGAGTATCAAGATTTTTTTACTGTGTGTCTCCTTTGAGCAGAGAACTTCAAGCAAGCGGCCTTACTGGACCTGTTCCAGATTCCATTTTTCGGCTACCAAATTTAAACGAACTGTAAGTAATCTTTGATGCGTCGAGGGACGAAATTTAGAGAAGAATCTGTGCTTGTGGAATAAATCGGTAAGAATTTCTTGCTGTGCAGGAGGATCAGTGATACAGCTTCGGGATCAGGCCGTGTTCCAGATATAACTAGCAAGAGCCTGAAATTTCTGTATGTCACGTCTCACATTCTTTACCTCTCCTGTAAGGTGTGATTATATGCTGTAATACATAATGTTACATGCTAGGTTGATGTTTTTGATATCCAGGGTTTTGAGGAACTTGAATTTGTCTGGACAACTCTCATTCGATGTCTGGGAGACCCTAAATCTCATGACTCTGTAAGTTCAATACTGTGTGTTGTACTGGCTATGCATCTGAAGAAAGACTCAATCTTTTGACAATTATGCTTTTTTCCGGTAGCGATGTATCGTTCAATAGGCTGACTGGAGAAGTGCCAACGCACGCAAAGGCGCCAAAATACACGTGTGTGCCATAGTTTTGTATCAAGACAGTTTACTCTATGAACTAGTTAATTTGTCTCACTGAAGACATTTAAACTCTTATGTCTTCACTTTCAGGTATTTGGCTGGAAACATGTTTTCAGGCAAGGTAGACTCAGGTCCCTTTCTCACTGCCAGTACTAGTTCAAATGTGTAAGACCATATACCTTTTTCGATGGTCAAATGAACATTTCATTTCATTGTGTCTGGTTATAGTGTTCTAGTCTCTGATATATATGTATATGCTGCTGCAGTGATCTTTCTTTTAACAACTTCACATGGTCTCCCGGATGCAAAGAGAGGATGTATGTACACTGTAATGAAGGATACTCTCCTGGATTCTTGGTAGTTCATGTCTTAAACTTCCAAAATTTAAACGCATGTTCTTGAACGCAGGAATGTAAACACATACCGGAGCTCAAACTCCAGAAACAACTTGTAAGGACATCTTGTCATTTTCGCCAATGACTCTCTGCGTATCGTTATTTATTCATTGTTTTATGCAGAGCAAGACTTTTGCCGTGCGCAGCCATAAACTCTTGTCGAAATTGTAAGTTCACCGAGTCTCTGATTGGTTTTCCACAGTCCATTCTATTGATAACTTTCACGTTCCGCAGATAACAAGTCACTGCATATAAACTGTGGCGGAGGAGATGTGACTATAAAAAGTTCCCGTGGAAATATTATGTATCATGGTGATAATTATGGACAAACCAGTTCGGCGATGAGTTATCGTGTAACAAATTGGGGATTCTGCAACACCGGTGACTTTATGGATGACGCAATAACTGAAGATACATTTAACGTTTCATCTGATTCAGTAGTATCTGCAAAATATCCTGAGCTTTATCAGACAGCGAGACAGTCTCCCCTGAGTTTGGCTTACTATGCATTTTGCATGGAAAACGGAAGCTATAACGTGAAACTCCATTTCGCCGAGATTCAGTTCACGGACCAAGAACCTTATAGCAGAGTTGCAAAGCGGTTTTTCAATATCTACATCCAGGTAAAGTATTACGTGCTTTTGAAAAATTGATGTCTTTGAGATTCTTGACGAACTGTTTCATCCGTCTCTGGTGATCATCGGATATATAAAAAACCGTCTTGTTTTTGCTTTTCTTGTGAAAGGGAAAATTGGTTTGGGAGGATTTTAGTATAAGAGATGAGGCTAATGGGACACACAAAGAAGTAATAAAGGAAATGAACACGACTGTGACCGATAACTCGTTAGAGATACGATTGTATTGGGCGGGGAAAGGCACGACACTAATCCCTCGGAGAGGGAGTTATGGCTCTCTGATATCTGCAATCTCAGTTTGTCCTAGTAAGCAAAGTTTCTTCTGAACATTAACATTACATTTTCATCGGTTCAACAAACTCTTTGTTCTTCTCGTAATTTCAGCAGTCTGTTAGTTTTTGGGTTGCGTTCTACTCGTGGATCTTAAAAGGGTTTAACTGGTTTTATTACGGGGTAGGGTCTGTCAAATTGGTATTAGAGCCTCTCAATCCTTGCATGTGCAGCAACGGGGTGGGCTGGATGTTATTGTTAGAATCCCACACCGAGCGAATATGGGATTGTAACTTGAGTTCTATGAGCACCCCAACCTTAGTATTGTTTCTCTTGAGTGTTTTTCTTTCAGTTTCACCTTGATCTTCTTGTCAATTGACACTGCTGTCTAACCAGAATCTTGTATCTATAAAAAATTTCAGGTTCGAAACCTCAATGTGGAGGTACAAAGACAACAAGTCACTACCTTGTTCTTGGTGTTTATATATTTATCCGAATAATATCTAATATCTACTCTTTTGGCATTTCATTCCAGTGGAGAAAGCCAAACATCAGGTTCATTATTCCCTAATTTTTGGGGGTGTTGGCGCTTTTCTATGTGTTATTCTCTTGGCATTTGGTATCTATACTAGAAGAAGATGCATTAGACACAAAAACGCAAGCGAAAAAGGTATCGGATTAACAAAGTTTTGTGATCTGTTTCTTGCACATACATGTATCATTCAAAATAATGTCATTAATGACTTTTGTCTGTTCAATCTGGTCATGTAGATCTTAGAGCCCAAGGTCTTCAAACAGTTTGCTTCACTTGGAGGCAACTACAAGCGGCCACAAGAAATTTTGATGGAGCAAACAAACTTGGAGAAGGGGGTTTTGGATCTGTATTCAAAGTACCAATACTCTACGAACGTATGTATGGCAGAAAATCAGTATACAGGTTTCTAATGGTAAGATTTGTTGCAGGGCGAGCTGGCAGATGGAACTATCATCGCAGTTAAGCAGCTTTCTTCAAAATCATGTCAAGGAAACCGTGAATTTGTCAATGAAATTGGCATGATCTCGGGTCTTCATCATCCAAACCTTGTGAAGCTTTATGGATGTTGTGTCGAGAAGGATCAATTGTTGCTTGTATATGAGTACATGGAAAATAATTCTCTTGCTCATGCACTATTTGGTAAAAGTTGTAGAATGGTCAAGTGTTACAATCTCAAATTGATGGAATCATGTAAGAGAGTAATATGCCTTTGGTTATTCCCATTTTCAGGGAAGAGTAACCTGAATCTGCAATGGGAGACCAGACAAAGGATTTGCGTTGGGATAGCAAGAGGAATAGAGTATCTCCACGAAGGATCGATGATCAGGATGGTTCATCGTGACATCAAAGCTACGAATGTGCTGTTAGATGGCGACCTCAACGCAAAGATATCTGACTTTGGATTGGCTAGGCTCCACAATGAAGAACAAAGCCATATCACCACCAAAATTGCCGGGACCATGTGAGTAGTATGATAGATTCTAGGATCTGTCTATCGAGTTTTTCTGGTCTTTAGGAGTTCCGACACCCTTTAGTCGGTCTTTACTAGTTCAAAGATCCTTGAACGGTACTAGTCCAAACCAAAAAAGAACGGTAATAGGAAAGGATCCCATTACTATCTTGTGTATTGTAGGTAAACCTTACCTTGCAAAAACTTCTACACGAAACTGTTTCCAGAACTCAAACCCTTGATCTCTTGATCACAACGGTAATACCCACTTCAATGTCCAGACCAGAAGATGAAAATTAAACCCAAACCCAAATAATAAAATAAAGTTCATAAAACATAAAAAGTACTAAAGTTCAAACCATCCTACTCTTTGTATTTGCTTAACTACACCATGACAACATAACGGCTAGTGTAGTTCTTGATTTTGATTTGTTGTGTTGCAGAGGATATATGGCTCCTGAGTATGCTTTATGGGGTCAGCTGACAGAGAAAGCCGATGTTTACAGCTTCGGAGTGGTGGCTCTTGAGATTGTTAGCGGTGAGAATAATATGAAACACAAGGGAGGGACTGATCAAACCTCTCTTGTCGATCGGGTAACCTTATTTACCATTATTTGTGAGCATTTACTGAATCTGTAAGTATTCCGATTTTGTTACCTCTTACTACGTATCCGAATTTCAGGTGGTCATACTGCAACAGAATGATAACTTATTGGAGATGGTTGATCCAAAGCTCGAAGGTGGTTTCAACCACGAAGAAGCAGAGAGAATGATTAAAGTGGCTCTTTCTTGCACAAACTCATCTCCTTCTTTGAGGCCGACCATGTCAGAAGCCGTGAAAATGCTCGAGGGAGAGATGGAAATAATGGAAAGCATCTCGGACCCTCGTTTGTACGGAGTCTTCCGGAAGATGAGAGTTAGCTCAAGCATGTCAGGAACAGAGATATCATCCTCGGGTCAGGCCACGACAGCTTCGACATCTGGTTATGATTTGTATCCTTTGACTCCTGAATCCACGATCCTGGACAGCAGCGGAACCTCGTCCTAGTCGTCGACGTAAGGTATAAAATGTGACAAAGTCATGTGAAACTTGTATCGTCATTATCATGCATATGTATACAGACGTATATGCGTGTGTATCTATTCTTCACACATTCAAAAAAACAAAAAACCATACAGCCTCGATTGTGAAAATTCGTGGGGCAAGAGATTCAAGTGTGGGGGTTGTTTTGTAAAATATAAGACTTTTGGGGCCAAATTTATAATTTTATCAAATCCAACATTTTTTTCCATGGAAAAACAATAAAAATATGTTTTTTTTTGGTAAATCAGTAAAAAAAATATTTTAGTGACGAGAATTTGTCTTTAAAATATAAAGAATCTAAAATTAGATATTTGATATATAGATTCAATAAAATTTATGGACGTCATAAATATATTGTTCACTGTTACGGTTCACATTGATTTACTATTCATATATACGATTACTGTTCACACCGACCGTATACGTGAACACTAACTGCGAGATTTTTATAAATAGACCATTTGGATTCCTCCATTTGTACACTTTTAAGAAAGAGAGTAATAAGAAATACATTCTTTTCCATTCTCCTAAGATACAGTTTTCCCTTATAGTTAACGATCTAATATCCGGATCGTTTATATTTCTCCGATTTCATAACAATGGACATATTAATGTCAAAGGAGAAAAACAGGTGCAAAGAGTAAATAAATGAAAAATAGGATAGGGTGAGCGTTTCAGTATATATTTCTGTTTTATTTTAGATTTTATTAAAAAAAATTATAATTTTTTTAATCTTTTGATAAGTACAATCCCAGAATAGGCCCACAAATTTTGAGACTCGTTTTTTTAAAACTAATTATTACTTTTAACTATATATTATAAAAAAAAAATAATTCGATATGATTTCTGGAAAAGAAAATTAATCTGAAAGAGCAAACCATTTGCCGATTAAATTTAAACTTCACTATTGGGGGGAGGAGACCTACATTGGTCTTCAGAATCAAAATATTCAATAAGCCCAACAAGCCCAACGGCTTGATGGGGCAGTAATGCTGGCCGATGTGGGACAAAAAGAATAGAGATTCCTAACCTGCACCTTTAATGGGCCTAAATTGAACGGCCCAATTGAAAAAGGGCTCGAACCAGAATGCGGGGGCCTAAAGCTATAGCTATTCTGCCGATGTGGGATTTCCATTATACGAAACACATTTCTAACGTTAATCTACTAGTGTTCTAAAATGATTTTACAAATGCTTATTTATAAATTTACAAATATATAAAATTTTTATAGTAAATTAAATGAGAAAAATGGTTATAGAAATAATAAATAATAAAGATAGATATCTCAATCAAATTAATGAAATGCGTGTGTATTGAATATTCAAAGATAATGAATATATCACTAAATGATTTTTTAAGACAGGACTTGACTTCATGCATAAATCATTAATAACATAATGTCTTATCAAAAACGACTTCATGTGAACTCCTTGGCAAAGTCAATGAGTCTTCGTATCGGTTTCATTGGTTAACGTCATCTCACATGTTTTGATCAATGCCATTGGAATCCGAACCGTACCAAATCAAATATTCAATATCGTTTATAAATTAAATCATTCAAAGTTTTCGAATAATATGTTTTATAAAAATTTGTGTAACGTAATTAAATTAAACATCTAAGGATCGTTTTACGATCCAACCATCTCAAATATCTATCATTCAAACGTCTATATTCGACTACAAGATGGGTACCAAAAGACATTCATGGTCATGAATATTATTCGTTCACACATCCACTAGACTGAAATTTATTAGATGCATCGTAAGTTATTCTAAAACCTCACAACAGGGGCGGATCCATGTATAGACCAATGGGGTCCCATGCCCCCTCTAAAATTTTTAATTTGTTTATAATTTTTTAAAATTTTTGATAAATAATATAAGGTGCCCCCATTAACATTTTACCTGTGCCCCCTCTTTCCACTCTTTTGTTTTTTTATTTCTCTTTTTTTTAAATTAAGTTACGTATTGTCTCTTTTTTTATTTTTTATTTTTTATTTTCCAACTGTTTTTTAATCTTTCTCTCTTAATTCTCAAAATTATTATGTATAGATCTAATATTAAAAAACAATCAAATTAAAAATATTTAAGTTTTATTAAAGGAAAATAATATGTTAGTATATCAAATCTATTTCTAATTGATTGTAATCTTGTATAATTGATTCTCTCTTAATTGTATCTCCTTAGTGACCTTAGATATAGCAACCTCTTCATGTATATATTTTGTATTACACAATTGAATAAATGTGAGATCATATTATTTCTTTCATTTATGACTTTTAAGTAATTTTATTTTTTATTTATTCATCAATTTTTATATTTTGATGATACTCACAAATTTATTGTTATATATATCTATATATATATATATATATATTTTATTTGACTTGATAAAAAAATTATAGATAAATTGATTAAGCTAAAAAAATATTAGAGGATCTTATCAATAACATGATAATGACTTTTAAAAAATGATAATAGAAAATAAATTAAAACGATTTGATCTCGACTGGTTTGATTAATACATTAATTGATTTTATTTGTTGACACTATGATGGAAGATGTTTTCCGTTAACAAAATTTGTAAACATAGCTCTAAGCAATCGTATTAGTGATCAATTTTTGAGTGATTGCAGTTTATTTTATTAAAAAATATATATTTTAAACAATTATAAATAAAAGTTATTATGGATATATTTTAAAAAATAAAAAATTATAAAATTTAATGATCAAATATAAATATTTTTTATAATATATTTTTTTAATTAATTTTATTATATATTTATTATAATTATTGCCCCCACTCATAATTTTTTCTGGATCCGCCACTGCCTCACAATATATATATATATATATATCATGTATATCAACTTGTTTTTAGTCAAAGTTAATGGCCCGCTACATATGAATTATCCGGATTTTGAATGGTATATGTTTTTCAATGAAATACTATAATTTTAAGTGTTTGGTTGTTTTTCAAAACCGTTTTGTATAACATGAGATTAAATTTTTTTCAATATAAAATACATAATTTACTATAATATTTTTCTATAACCATTTAGTCGTGGATCTAACAAAAGATGATAACAAAAACTGGTATCAAGTCAAGTTGTAATAGATAAATTCAATTTGGATAGTTCAACTAATGAATACGAGATGTAAAACGTGTATTCCGTTGTGAATTCAAGTTTCAAGTTGGATAAGAAAATGTGTATCCCGACTATTGAAATAGATTTTCCAACGCAACTAGCAAAACAATACATATTCATGCATATACAATTACAATAACAAATTTATTCAATATAAAAATACTTTTATATTATAATAATACAATAATATTCAAAAATTTCCAATTCTTTATTTATTTATATATATATATATTTATTGATTTAATAATAGGGAAAATCCCATATTCCCCCACGTATTTGCCAAAATATACCAATTTCCTATATGAATTATTAATTTGACAAGAACTTTCACCCAAATTCGAAAATTTCCAAATTCCCACACTAATTCGGTAAATTCGTTGCAATGTCTTACACATCAGTACACGGCGTGAAACGTTGAGGTGTTCCGTTAAAGTCTCAGCTGACTTGGCAGGACACGTCGGAAATAATATACACGTGTATATGCCACGTGTCAAATCTTAAAACCTGAAAATCTGAAAAATTAAACCGGATCGGTAATTTGAAAACCAAAGAAATTGAAAAAAAAACGAAAGTGTTACGCCGGAAGAAGCCTCGCTGGGGGAGGGCGTCGAGCCGAAACAGGCCGTCGCCTGGTCAGGGTGTTATGCCGGAAGAGGGACTCGCCGGGAAAGTGTTAGGGATTTTAGGATTTTTTTTCTTTCGGATTTTTTTTCAATTTTTTGGTTTTCAAATTACCAATCCGGTTTAATTTTTCAGATTTTCGGGTTTTAAGATTTGACACGTGGCATATACATGTGTACATTATTTCCGACGTGTCCTGCCAAATCAGCTGAGACTCTAACGGAACACCTCAATGTTTCACACCGTGTACTGATGTGTAGGACATTGCAACGAATTTACCGAATTAGTGTGGGAATTTAGAAATTTTCGAATTTAGGTGTAAGTTCTTGTCAAATTAATAATTTAGGTAGGAAATTGGTATATTTTGGCAAATACGTGGGGAATATGGTATCTTCCCTTAATAATATAACTTTTGTTGTATTCATATCAATGATTTTTTTTTATAACGAAAATGTAAGCATTTATATTAACAAAAAAATCCGCGCGTGGTTCTCTCCTAGCATAATTGAATAATTTGTTTTTTTTTTTAAATTTTTCCTATATAAAAAGGACGTAATTATATTCCAATTCACCAAATTTTAAATCAAATGAATTAACTCACTATATCCAATCAAATGTGGTATAAATCTAAACAAACAAATTAAAAGGTATAAATCCAAACAAACAAATTACAAAAACTAATTATAAAATAAAATAAAATCCTAACATTTATTATTTGTTTAAACAAAATTTCAACCAATTTTAGGTGAAATATACAAATCATTTAGCCTAAATCCCCACGAATTAACTGCAATCCATTTGATCATTTGTGCTTCAAACCCTAATTTATTACTTCCGAAGCTCACACTGGTCACTGGAAAACTAAGAATGGCATCTTCAGGGGAGGTCGCTAATGGAGCGAGTTTGTTGCAGGGTTCGTTCATCTTAAGCCAAAGCAAAAACTTGGGTGAAATTAGGGTTCTTAGCGAATACTGAAATTAGGGTTTCTTAGGTGCCTTCGCTAACGGAGCGAGTTTGTTCCAGTGTTCGTTCATCTAAGCCAAGCAAAAACTTGGGTTAAACTAAGGTTCTTATCGAATTGTGAAATTAAGGTTTCTTAGGTTTTCTAAGGGGCTCGGCAAGGATCGCGCACGTGGTTTGTGATCGAGTATGACGAAGAGCCGATCCCTGAGCTTGCCCATGGCTTCGAATTGCAGTATCAGGAGGACGAGGAAGAGAGGTGAATGGGATAGTGAAGATGACGGACTTCTTGTCGGCGGTGACGGAGATAAAGGTCACGGCCTTGACGGCGCCGTTGGAGGTAAGAGAATTGACTTTTAACTAAAATGAAAAAAAATGTGGTTTTCATGAAGGAAAAATTCTGGGTTTTTTACAATTATTTTGTAAGTTTTCATATATTAAGAGAAAAACATAGATTCTCTCGTACCAATCTTAGAGTTGGAGATCAAAGCTGCAACCTCGAGGTTAATGTTTTTACTGAAATGTTTATTGATTGTGGAAAATTCTTAGATATTGTTAGTAACGTAGAAGTAGAAGACAACACGTTCATAAAAATGTCCCAACAAAAAAAGATGTATGATAGCTTGACTTCTTGAAACTTTAAGTCTTTGAAATATTTACAAGTTTGGTGGGGCAGAAGAACAGGCACCACCAGGGACAAGAAACTTCAACATGGAATACTGAGGTCCAGATGTTCCTGTGAAACTTTTATAATTTTGTCCATTTACATTAAGAGATGATTTTCCTTGTACTATAAATACTGAAAAACTGGTACACTCATTATAGGTTATGCAAGAGAGGAGCAAAGAAACTGAACATCTTCCTCCATGTCAATGATCTCCTACTTCATCTTCATCTCAATCTTCTTTGCTCCTCTAGCTTGTGCTTCACCAGCTCTCCTCCATCCAGATGAAGGTTTGTAACTGATTTTAATGGTCATGGGTCGTGCTTTAAATATCAGTTTGGTGAAAGATAAAGATAACAACTCGCTATTGATGTAACAAACATTAAAACTTGTCATTGAGATAGAACACCTGACTCTTTTTCCCCTGGAACGCCATGGTTGAGATGCTTAAGTGACTCATATATCTCTAGTTTCTCTAGTAGAGATCTGCGTAGCTGTAACGAAGGATTGGGTAATTGTTCCACAAACATCCATTACAGGCGTAAGCTAGCAGCTGTATTTTTCACCTGGGTATTGCTTTGAGAGAATGTGATACATCATACATGACTGATGTCTATTGGATTATGCAGTGGAAGCGCTTCAAGAGATTGCTAGAACGCTTGGTATCAAGAATTTGGACCTAAGAGAAGACCCTTGCGCTAAAAGCATTCTGAGGATAGCTGATGGTGATTTGCAGCCAGGGCAGGACAGTACAGTCATTTGTGATTGTAGCTTCGACAACAATAGGACCTGTCATATTACACAGTTGTAAGTGTCTTGTCTTTTAGTTTTTTGTTTGTTCAGAACTCTTATCTGGCTACTGTGTCAATATTGAGCTGACATCAGTTGCTTATGTAACGCAGATTACTTGTTTTTCTGATATCTTTCTTAGGATTTTCTCTTTCTTTTTGTTGCACCACAGAACACTCAAGACCTTCAGTCTTCCCGGCAGAGTTCCCCCAGAGTTGGTCAAGCTTCGATATCTCAACCAAATGTTAGTTCATTCCTCGTTGGAGGAAACATCATTTCTGTTTTCAGCAGCAATGGTTTGTTTACGGATTACATATTTACATATATATATATACACGCATATATTGTAGTGATTTATGCCGCAACTACCTTTCTGGCACAATTCCAGTGGAATGGGCCTCAATGGCATACCTCAAATCTATGTGAGTTTTCGAGTTCTTTATTTCAATTTCCCAGACTTCCTCTTTCTGATCTGATTTCTGAGTTTGTTATGCAGTTCACTCTGTTCGAATCGCTTAAGTGGAAACATACCGTCCTGGCTGGGAAAGTTAACAAATCTTACATCCTTGTATGTCTCCATGCTCCCATTTTAACTTGTGGTTTTATAAGTAATTTTCCTTCATGCCTATATCTTTGGTAAAGGCTTTATTGGATGTCTCTTATTGTGATTTTATTGGATGAAATTTCAGAGTGCTTGAAGAAAACGAACTCTCTGGCACTATTCCAGACGAGCTGGGAAACCTGATCAACCTAGAACACTTGTACCACCTCCCCATCTTGATCACCTTTAAAACGCAAGAACGATAAGAAGAGAATTGATTTTCCATCTTTTCATCTTCAATTTGTAGGAAACTTGCATCCAATCGATTGACCGGAAGCTTGCCAAGCAGTCTTTCAAGACTAGTCAAGCTACGAGATTTGTAAGTCATGACACTAGTTTCTTTCATCCCAAGCAGTTGGGTCTTTACTTAAACTCTTTCTGGCATGCAAGTTCTTCTCTGTCTCAGATTTTCTTAGCTAAAAAAGAAAATCGAAATGAAGTTGCTGCTGTGGTTCTGCATATTGTGCTGATGTTGCACTGTGGTTCAGTACATTTATGGGTTTTGTGTCATTTGTTCTTTTCACTTACTCGTTGTATTACTAAATGTTTTGCTCTACAGTTTCATTAGTGACAATAACTTAAGCGGCAACATTCCCGATCTTATTGGAAACTGGTTTCAGATTAGCAGGCTGTAAGTGCATCGGTAATCAACATCTTGTAATTTCTGCTTATAGTTAGGGTTTCCAGAATTCCAGTTTATTAACTCATGTTGATATGAACAGATATCTATTTGCAAGTGGGCTGAGAGGGCCTATTCCTGATTCACTGTCGCGTCTAGAAAATCTTAAGGAGCTGTAAGTGAATTGCCTTCAATACATTGGCAGAAGGACCACCGAAAAGACATTGATCTTTTTGGTTTTGTAGGAGGATTAGTGATACGACTGGGATAGACTCTTTTCCAAATATATCCAGCAACGTCATAAGACACCTGTATGTCTTGTCTACTTTACCAGGCAATTTCTCCTCTGTGGTAAGATTATATCTGAACATGCCAAGCTAAACTGTCTGGACCAATGCCAGGACTCTGAGGAATGTGAACATGTCTGGACCAATTCCACCTAGTATCTGGCAAAAGGAGCTATATACTTTGTAAGTTTAGAACTTATGAAATCAGATCTAACGTGTTAGAGAACACCTTTGGATGAATTTGAATGTACAAGGGTAGGAATATATATGCACATCTAGAAGCATGCTTGTGCATAGCCGAGGTGTGTCTGTGTGTTTGTGTTAATCATGTATTTTGATATATTGATATGATTCCCACTGACATGGGGATGTATAGGCTCAAACAGGTCTACCTTTATATGCTCTCATTACATTTACTGGTTGTTTGTATCTTTAACTATATTGTTTCATGAGCAAACACATGTAAGTTTGCATAGCTAGCTAGGGGATCGGAAATTGTTTTGGGAGGACAATATAGAGTATGACGGACGGGTTTAATTTCCAAATTCTACGGTAACTGCATATGATTTTATGAGGTAAAATGTAAGTAGACAGACAGTTGTAACTTGAAAATCTATGTTCCAATGTCTCTTAGTCACTCATGTATGTGTGGATATGAACATGGAAGTATATCTGCTATTCTGTATGCATATATATATATATATATGCTATGCTTTTTTGTTTTTATGTATGCGCATGTATATAGGAATATAACTAATCACATGTATTAGAATATTATACTTTCTTGTTGACACTGTCCTTATGCCCCGGAAGAAGTTAGAATTTTCTCATGTGTTTTTTTTGGCAGGGATGTATCGTTCAACAAGTTGACTGGAGAAGTTCCAACCACAAGGAATCCACCAAAATATACGTAAGCGAGACAATATGAAACTGAGAATTTCAAAGCATTGATACCCATTGAATCACACAGAATTATGGTAGAAGACTTTATTCTTCCTGGTATGTTTTTTTTAGCTATTTGACTGGAAACATGATTTCTGGAGAAGCTGGATCTGGTGTCTTCCTTACCACCCCGTCGTACATGTATGTTTGGAAACTGCTTTTGCCTGTATGGCATGCAAAGTTTCGCATTTATGACAAATAAACTTGTATTTGTTTTCAGTGATCTTTCTTATAACAACTTTACATGGTCCTCTAAATGTGTGGAAAGAAGGTAAGAATGCAAAATCTTGGACTGAAGAGGTCTTTTTTGTTTGTTAATTTCCCTTGCTCATTTTCCCGTTTCTCTTTTTATCTTTTGTTGAATCAGTAACATTAACACGTTCCGGAGCTCAAATATGAAGAACAACTTGTATGTGAATGGTTCTATTTTGGATATACGTGCATATCTTTACTTTCTCTTACTATGTGGTGATACAAAAGGTTTCCATGTAACACGAGCTAATGTGGTGCCTACATATTCCGATCATATGTTACACAGAACCGGGCTTCTTCCATGCGCCGATCGAATCAACTGCCGGAAGTGTAATATTTTGTTTAATATTTTTCTTCAACATATGAAACTGGGACTGCTCATATCTTAGTATTGATGGAAACTCTGGCTTTAAATTGCAGATCACCGCTCCGTACATATAAATTGCGGTGGAGAAAACGTAGATGTTGCAAATGCTTCTGGTCGTGTCATTTTTCAAGGTGATAACAGTGCTCAAACCACAGCTGCAACAAATCATCACTGGGAAAACTGGGGATTCAGTAACACAGGGGACTTTATTAATGATAAGTTCAAAGAGGATTCCTATGTAATTGCAACCAATGCATCATTATCTGGTGATTCTTCTGGATTATATAAGACCGCACGTAGATCTGCTCTTTCTCTGGTATACTATGCATTTTGCCTGGACAATGGAATCTACCATGTGAAACTCCATTTTGCGGAGATTCAGTTTTCAGATGAAGAACTGTACTGTCGCACCGCAAGGCGCATTTTTGATGTCTATGTTCAGGTAAAAGCATCGCATTTTAGCAAATGATTCCATAGTTCAGGCATCCTTCTTGTAAAGGGCGAATTAGACCTGAGATTATTTCTTTTGCTTTTCTTATCCCCATTAGGGAGTACAGGTGTTGAAGGATTTTAACATCAGAGAGGAAGCTAAAGGGGCTTATAGACCAATTGTGAAGGAACTGAATGCAACTGTAGCAGATCATACGCTTGAGGTTCGGTTGTATTGGGCAGGGAAAGGCACTACCCACATTCCCAATAGAGGGAATTATGGTCCTCTTATATCTGCAATTTCTTTTTGTCACAGTAAGTATATATGCCTCCTTTTCGTTATGTTTGTTTCTATATGCAAGCTCCTTCACGGTAGCCAAGTTTCAATTTTACTTCTCCAAATGGTTTCATATCTCCAAGTCTATTTATGAGCACCCTTAACATTGTTTCTCTTAAGTGATTTCCTTTCTGTTTCTCCTTTATCTTCTTGTCAATCACATTGCCATCTAACCAGAATCTTTTATCTTTAAAATTTTCAGGTTCAGAACCTCGATGTGGAGGTACAAGACAACAAACCACAACTATGTTATAAATCTCGAGCTGATGAATTTATGTTCTATATCTATATACCCTTTTGGTGTTTCATTTCAGCGGAGAAAGCCAAACGAGATCACTCTCCCCAAATTATTGGGGCAGCGGGCGCTTTTCTATGTGTTATTTTCTTGGCGTTTGGAATATATACTAGAAGAAGATGCGTACACCAGAACACAAGAGAAATAGGTATCAGATTTTACAAAGTTTGTGATATGTTTTTGATATACCCCGATAGGAAATCTATCGAAAAATAAGAAAAATAAATTTGCTATTATTTATTTGTTCGGAGATAGGCATATCCTACACTACATTTTAAGGGAACGAATATCTCTAGGGTTTTTTTTACATCACTAGTATTCGAGATGTTCGTAGGGAATATAATTTTTTTTCAAGAAAATTTCCTGATAGTTTTAATTTTATTGAATAAGAATAGTGCCTATAGATATAAAAACTCAAATAATCTAATTATGTTAGAAATCTATCAGTTTCTTGCACGTAGATGCATCATTCAAAACATTGTCATTAACGAATTTTGTCTGTACAATCTGGTCAAATAGATCTTAGAGCCCAGGTTCTGCAAACGGTTTGCTTCACCTGGAGGCAACTACAAGCGGCCACAAGCAATTTTGATGAATCAAACAAACTTGGAGAAGGGGGTTTCGGATCTGTATTCAAAGTACCAATGCTGATCCATGGTTCTTCAAACGTACATCTTGCAGAAATTCGGTATTTAGGTTTCTGATGGGAGGATTTTTTGCAGGGTGAGCTGGCAGATGGAACTATCATCGCAGTTAAGCAGCTTTCGTCCAAATCATGTCAAGGAGACCGTGAATTTGTCAACGAAATTGGCATGATCTCGGGTCTGCATCATCCAAACCTTGTGACACTTTATGGATGCTGTGTCGAGAAGAATCAATTGTTGCTTGTATACGAGTACATGGAAAATAATTCGCTTGCTCATGCGCTATTTGGTAAAAGTTAGATAAATGATGAGCTGAATTCAGACCATGTTTCTGAGGGAATCATGCAGAAGACTGATATATGTCTTTGGTTATTTCCATTTTCAGGAAAGAGTATGCTGAAACTGGATTGGGAAACCAGACAGAAGATTTGCGTTGGAATAGCAAGAGGAATAGAGTATCTTCACGAAGGATCGATGATCAGAATGGTTCACCGTGACATCAAAACCACGAATGTGCTATTAGACGGTGACCTCAACGCAAAGATATCTGATTTTGGATTGGCTAGGCTCCGTAACGAAGAACAAAGCCATATCAGCACCAAAGTTGCTGGGACCATGTGAGTAGTATGATAGTGTCTAGGAACTTTTAATAAAGCTTTTCTCGTCTTTAGGATGGGGATCTTTTTTAGGGGTGTCAATTTTAGCCCGAAATCCGAAACCCGATCCTAAGTCCACCCGAAAATCACTTAAATCACACCATGACACCTTAATTTTGTCTAACAAATTCTTGATTTTGATTCGGGTTGCAGAGGATATATGGCTCCTGAGTATGCTCTACGGGGTCAACTGACAGAAAAAGCCGATGTTTACAGCTTCGGAGTTGTGGCTCTTGAGATTGTTAGCGGTGAGAATAATCTGAAATGCAAGGGAGGGATTGAACAAACTTCTCTTATCGATCAGGTAAACCTTATGTAACTCCTCACTCCAAGCAGCTATTTACCATTTGTCATGAGCAATTACCGAATCTGTAATTACACCGATTTTTGCCTCTCTTACTGCATATCCGATTTTCAGGTGGTCATGCTGCAACAGAATGGTAACTTATTGGAGATGGTCGATCCAAAGCTCGAAGATGATTTCAACCACGAAGAAGCCGAGAGAATGATCAAAGTGGCTCTTTCTTGCATAAACTCGTCTCCTTCTTTGAGGCCGACGATGTCAGAAGCCGTGAAAATGCTCGGGGGAGAGATGAAAATAACGGAAAGTATCTCGGACACTCATTTGTACGGAGGAGTCATCAACTTCCCGAGGCTGAGAGTTAGCTCGAGCATGTTGGGAACTGAGATATCATCCTCGGGTCAGGCCACGACAACTTCGATATCGGGTTATGAATTATACCCTTTTGCTCCTGAATCCGCCATTCTGGACAGCAGCTATACCTCATCCTAGTCGTCGATGTAGCGCGTAAAATGTGACAGACCAAAGTCATTTGATAAAACCAAACATGTGAACGCTGTATCAGATTCATAGTCATTATATATGTATACAGACGCGCGCGTGTATCTTCTACTACAGGGTGATACAAAAAAAAAAAAGGGTAAAAGGAAACAGCCCTCTATTTCTATGGCGTTTGAAGATGGAGGGAGTTTGTGATTTTTGTGTTTTTGGTTAGGGTTTCGGTATGGTTTTTTCAAAACTGAATAGTATTGAACCGAAAAATCTGGTATTTTTTTTTCAATCGAACTATCCAAAATTTTTGAACGGATTTTTTTTTAGAAAATCTAATTTTTCGAAACTGAACCGAATTTTAAAAAACCTGAAAAATCAAAAATTTCTTATAGATGTTCTTAATAAACCTTGTATCTGAACCCGAACCGAAATCGAATCGAATATGATATAATAACCGAATATTTTTGTAAAAACTGAAAGAAGCGAACCAAACCATTCTCGAATCCTGGTCGAATATTGAAACGTCCATCTATCCCTAGTTCTTTCGGTAGAGATAGCTAGGGGTGTAAAATGGACGGGTCGGGGCGGGTTTGAGTCGGGTTTAATTCGGGCCTAGAATTTTTTGGGTCGGGCCGGTCCGCCTATTTATTTTTCGGATCTAAGATCGATGGCCTAGAGCCCGACTCTATAGGGCTTCGGGCCAGATTTCGGGTTTTTTTATTAAATAAAAATATTTTTCAAAACCGATAATAATAATATGAAACATTCAACAAAAATATTTTTTAAATGTTCGTCACATATGGCGAGAGAGACAAAAAAAAATCCACCTTATATTTTCAGAACTGATTTCAGCAAATACGAACAAAAATCCCAGAAACGAGAAAAATAGAGGTGAAGTAGTAGAAACACAACACAAACGTGACTCAATAAAAGGGTTTATCGTAAAAAAAAGTTAGGGTAATCATAGAGAGGTAAAGTTTTGGTTTAAAAAAAATGGTTAAAAAAAATAATTGGCCTCAAGCCCGGTCCGAAAAAAATAATTGGCCTCAAGTCCGGTCCGAGACCCAATTGGCTCGCAATCCATTTAGCACGAGATCCGAAAGTCTGGAGTTTAATGAGCTTATATTTTCTAGACCCACGTTTTTATTATTTTCGTGTTATTTTCGAGACCCGATTGGGTCGGGTTTCGGACTCCGGGCTTAATTGATATCCTTAGAGATAGCCCTATGAAATGTATATATGTGATTAAATTTAGATGATAAAAATGAAGACAGCCATTTCGTGGTTAGTAATGAATTAGTTTATCGATTTGTTTTTTTTAATAGGTCGGAATTATTTTGATTCGCCTAATCTAAAGACGAGTTGGCCACGAACCAAATTGTAAAAACATTTAGATGTATGTATTTATCGACACCGAAATAAAGGAACCAAAACCAATATAAAAGCATGAATGGAATGAACATCAATATAAAATTTTGATTGGGATAGGAAAATTTCCATTTGTATATATATTCATGAATCCAGAGATTTATAGAAGGAGATGGAGATCTAAAAAATAATAAAAATTAAAAATGACGACGGGGAGATTAAGCAGGGGGGAGTTTGTGTACGGATGCCTAAATCCCACATCGACAAAAACAAGGTGCATAGAAGAAGGGGAAGTGTTATAAAAAGAAAGAGGGGGCGCCGAATCAACTCATACCTTTCTCGGCCTTTTGGCTAAGATCAAGTGTAGTATCTGTTCTTATCAGTTTAATATCTGATACGTGGGCCATCGGCCCACAACGATATTAACTCTATTTTTTATGGAGGTGGGCCCATTCGGCAGCTTGCTGCCTGGGCTCACAAGCGTCGCCCACGCGTTGCACTACAGCGAGGGCCTGGCGCACTCCGCCCAAATCAATTGCAAATATTTTCTCAATTAAGTCAGAAATTTCTTTTGTTCATGTTGAATTGTTCAACAATTATTAGATAATGAAAACAGTTGTAAACTAAGTTTGAGATTGGGTGTTCTTTATTACACGTATTATCATTTTTCTGGTTCGAACGCCTTACGGTTGGGCCGTCCGATTCAGTTAAAGAATCTCTCTATTATTTTTGTCCCACATCGGCCAGCACTAAAACTCAAACAGAAATGAATCACTGCCCCCATCACTTCTCCCCAAAAGTCAAGTTTAAATTTAATCGGCAAATGGTTTGCTCTTTTATTTGCTTTGGTTCTGTTAAGGTTTTTTTTTTTCCAATTCCACAGCAATCATATCGAATTATATATATACACACACTCATATATATATATATATATGTTATTTATACAATTGATTCTATTATTAATGGTTGAACTGGGCTCGGTTCACATTTAACTTAAACCAATTAGATGAATCTAGGTTTAACTTCAACTTCTGGTGGGTCCCGTTTGGTATATTGCCCAAATCATCTCTCCATATGGGCTTCCCCCCAGTATATATAAGAGGCCCATGTACTTTACGGGATCGACGCGCAATCCAGAAGGCGCGTGGCCTAGGCTAGTGACTTCCATTGCAGTTAGGATTAGTAGAGCTTATCGTCTTTTGAAATTTTTTGTCTTATTGTATTTGATTCAAACGAATTCAAAGTTTTTTAAATTAGAAGAATCCCTGAGCGACTGCTCTTTAAGTGAACAAAACTACTCTACTACGGTTTTTTAATATTGAATTTGGTTATATGCGATTTTTTATATTGAATTCGGTATCGTGGTTTATATTTTCGATTATGATTAACATATTTATTTTTTAAAAATAATTCGTTCTGTATGAATTCGTTTTGTCGGTTTAAGATAATTTATAACCATTCGATATGTCTAAATTGGTCGTCGGTTATGTCTGATTCAGTTAATAATTATATATTATTCAATTCAAATCACTTTGATTATTCGGTTATTAACTACATAAAGTATCCCTAGATAGCGAACTAGAATAATTTAAATAGTTTGAGGTGAATTTTTTTTATCCAACTCATCCAACTCCATTTTTAGCAAGCCAAAAATTGTTTGGCTCGCCCTAACACAGTCTAACTCGTGAGTCAAAATTAACCGTTTCGAAAACCAAATATATAATTAAAAAAATAAAATTTAATATTAAAAAATATTGAATATATTATAAATATAATAAAAAATTTAAAAAAAATAAAAATTTAAACAAAACAACTCGTGGACTCGCCAACCCGACTCGTGACGAATTGGCTTCGTTCGACCCGTTTTTTTCGGATTCAAATATTCTTAAACCGATTGAAAAAAAATATAGTCCGACTCACGAGCCAATAAAGGAGACGAGACCATTTTACATCCCTATAAGTAGATGGATGTCATTTTCAAAACCACATATTTCTAAGTCATGATATTTGTGAGGTTCGAGTTTGGGAAGAGCGAAAAGATTAAATAACCATATGACCTCCAAAAACAAACTCATCAATTTAATAAACCCAAACTACAATCTAATTGACCCAGATTTGAAAATAACTATTGCTGAAATGAGTAAAACCTTGAAAGTCCTATTGCGAATCAAAACGTGTAATAAAGAACTAAATCATATCGTCCGTACGGTACGTATATATATAATATATATTCATAAAACAAGTGTAACTATAGTTTCGGCTTTAGCGATTCAAGGCCCAGTTGAGGATATCTATATTATTGTTGTCCCACATCGGAAAACATTAACACAAACGGAGAGGAATCACAGTTATTTAATAAGCCGAAGCATCCACCGGTAATCTCACGGAGCCGTGCGATGAGCACATAGCGAACTATTCTTTCGCCTTTTACTAAAGAATACCGTGTGCTCGTCGCATCAAGCGGCATACGCCTATTTTTGGAGGGGACTGCTCTCTTAGAGCTCTGTCCCCATCAAAACCACTAATATACTAATTATAAGTACTTTCATCGAGGGTGTAGAGTTCGGTTTTCCGTAAACCAAGAAACGGTTCAAATTGATTTGCTGCAATTGACCCAGCCTTTAAAAATTTTTATCCTCTAAAATATTATTATCTTGGTAATAACATATTTATATGAAAAGACCGTATTCAATTATGTGAACTTCTAAAATATTATCATCTTGGTAAAGAATGATAGTTTTTTCCTTGCTTTAATTTGAAAAACATCGGATTTTTCAATATAAGTTTGAAATGTTTTTCAATTTATTGTTCCATTGAAGATTTGAAATTCCAAAATTTATTTTTCATTTTCCGTATTTAGTCCAAATTTCTTTAGTTATCAGTTAAATTTTTTAAAAAAAACTTCAGTCAACTGAGATGGCTAAATACCAAAGTGATATCCAAATTAATAAAAAAATATATAAAAAACGTAGAAATCATTCATCTTCGTAAAAACTTTATGCAAAATATTTATTTTCTATTAAGTATATTGATATTTTATGAAAACATATTGAGATATCAATAAATAATACACATATTATTTGAATATATTTATATTTTTATGCGTGAATTAATAAAGAATATGAATTAAATATAGTTGACAAGTAATAATATTTTTATCCGATACAATTATATTGTTTTGGTTAGTTAGTATTAAAATTTACTTGTTATTTTCAATAAAATCTAATCACAAGTGTATTATTTAGCAATATATCGATTAAATTGAGATATTAAATAAAAATAAAAATTTAAAATGATGATGGGAGATTAAGCAGTGGGGAGTTTGTGAAGCGGATGCCTAAATCCCACATCGACAAAAACAAGGTGCATAGAAGAAGGGGAAGCATTATAAAAAGAAAGAGGAAGCTCCTCAACAACTCATACCTTTCTCGGCCTTTTGGCTAAGATCAAGTGTAGTATCTGTTCTTATCAGTTTAATATCTGATACGTGGGCCATCGGCCCACAACGATATTAACTCTATTTTTTATGGAGGTGGGCTCATTTCGGTAGCTTGCTGCCCGTGCTCACGCGCGTCGCCCACGCGTTGCGCTATGGCGAGGGCCTGGCGCACTCCGCCCAAGTCATAATTTCTCAAATTTTGTTTTTGTTTTGTATATATATATATATATAGACGTTTGAAATGTGTTACGTATGGTTTGCAATTCAATAAACCTGTTATATCCTCCGGGCCTTGAGTAATCTCAGCCTCCAGCTCAAAACACTTGATAATGGAAATCCCACATCGGCAGAATAGCTATATAGCTTTAGGCTCCCGCATTCTGGTTCGAGCTTTCAA